TTGTACAGGCTCATGTTTGTTTTTTGGTCTCCATTGTAACAGTTATTTTTTTTTAGCACCAGATCTGGGTCTTAGGCAAAGTTGTATTCAGGAGAACGTTTTATGGTCTAAGGAAGTAGACTGAAAAATGCAAGCAAATGTGAACAGGTACATCAATATTGCACAGTGGTGAGAGTTCAAAACTAAAAGCTGGAGGTGATGTCATGAGGTTGTTACTGAAAACTACAGGACTTGCCTGCATAGTCGGGCTAGTTTGGTCATATACACAACAGTTCAAGGTTTTAAATTATCGATACTGAGAACCAGATGCTAGTTCTGCACTCAGGGCCTACTATGTTGCGCTGTTGTGCTCAGACATGTTCGGGAAACGTGACCGTTTGCCAGCAATTTGAGAATTTTTTCGCCCCAAACTGCTTCATGCAAACTGTCTTCTCCAATGCTGGCTTGGATCCTTTCCAACAGGTAATGACATTGAAACTGAAAGCCAATACCTGAGTTTTATTGGCAAAAACTCCTGTGATTGATGGGAGTTTTGCTTTAGTTTTTTTCTTTTCAAATAGTATCGGATTTGTGGAGGGATCCATCACTTCTGGGTCAGAATAAGACAGTTTGGATAAAGAAGAGCCTGGGAATTTGGGAGTACAGTGTCTTATCAGAGGTCTCAGTAACTGTAGTTCTAGCCAGAGCTCTGTGCCAGAGGTTAAATGGCAACTTCAGACCACCTACCAGTTGTCAACTTACAAGCATGGTGCGTCTTGCTATGTTCCCATTATCAAACAAAAATTGAAGGATTTTTATGCAGGTAGGTCATCCTTTCTAAGCGTTTTAAAATAAGGTTACACTGTGGCTTTATGGAGTGCCTTTGTCTACAGATCTTCACAGGAGTGTGCAAGATAAGCCACACTGAAACAGAAATGAGACAAGATAAAGACACATCATCACTGCAAGCAAAACTTTCAAGTTTCTGAAACACACTGGAAGGGAGAAGAATGCAGGAAGCTCTGTATACTACAGCCTGCTGTTGCATGCCTGTTTTTTTAGAAAAATGTACTGTATGCACCAGTTTTTGCTCCTTTACAATTTGCTCCTTTACAGGGACATGTTGTCGGTGTTAAAGGACAACAAGCAGAAATTCCAACTTTGTTTTTCATCTGGCAGGGTAGGATGAAAATGGGGATTTAAAGGGGGAAGTGAGGAATGACCTTGTGCTTTATATTAAAATGCTCATATGTTCTATTGCGATAAATGTTGGAGGCTGTCCAAAGCTATGTAGGGATGAGTTTAGGTCATACTGAGAGCTCTGCTCCCGGTTAAACTGTTCAGATGATTTTCAGCATTTT